GCATGGATAGAGGAGGAGGAGGAGCCTTCTGAGCTGAAGTATGCCCTTGTGCTACCACTGTACAAGGGCAAAGTGAGCAAGCAATGTTGCACGAATTATCGTGGCATCAACTTGCGCAGTTGTGTGGGTAAGGTGATTGCCCGAATCCTGCTCAACCGAATCGTCAGTCCAGTTATGGAACCAAACGTGGGGCAAGAGCAGTGTGGATTTCGTTCGGGTCGCAGCACTATAGATATAGAGTTTGCGGCTCGTCAGTTGAAAAGGTGTTGAGAACGCCAGCGGCCTTGGTACTCGCTTTTTGTTGATTTCACCAAGGCATTTGAAACGGTGAATTGCGAGACATGGTAGCCAGTGTTGGGTAATTTTGGCTGTCCGAGTAAGTTTGTAAGTTTAATTGAATGTCTGCATAGGGGCATGCGGGCGAGGGTGCAGCTGAGTGGAGCGACCTCGGATGACTTTGCAGTTGCCACTGGTGTGAAGCAAGGCTCTGTCTTAGCTATTGCTTTGTTTAATATATATCTTCAAGCAATGATGTCTTGTGCTTTTGATGCGGCTTGTGCTTACGGTGTTCGTGTGGAGCACCGTATTGATGGTGGGTTGCTGAACACCCGTCGTTTCGGTGCGAGAACTCTAGTCTGTGAGATAATTATCCATATATTTCTGTTTGCTGACGACTATGCGTTGTTTGCACACAGCACGGATGAGTTGCAGCACAGGACTAGTGCTCTGGCTTCGACAGCGGCCAAATTCGGGCTCACCATCAACACAAGCAAAACTGTCTGTCTCTTTCAGCCTTCACCAGATATGCAATCTTTAATATTACCGCGAATCAGCATTGGTGCTGCAGTATTGGAAACCACCTCCCGCTTTGACTACCTCTAGAGTGTGGTTTCGACTGACCAGCAAATATACAGTGAGCTGCGTATCCGCGTCTCGAAGGCAGCGGCGGCATTCGGGAAGCTAGAGTACCGAGTGTGGAACAACCATCAGCGTACCATTGGCACGAAGCTGGTGTACAAATCCATGATGCTGTCAGTTCTTCTATAAGGCATGGAAACGTGGACAATGTGCCGGCGGGACGTGCGATATCTCGAGCGATTCCATCAACAGTGTTTGCGACGGATTTTACGCATTGGATGGGGTGACTGAGTTGCGGACACGGAAGTGTAGCATCGAAGTGGAATGTATGCAGTTGACTGCATACTTTTGCTGAGACATCTGAGGTGGCTCCGTCATGTGAACCACATGGATTCGACGCGGATACCGAGACGACTATCGTATGGTCAGCTGTGTATTGGGAAGCGGCATGTGGGGAAACCAAAGTTACGTTACTAGGACATGATCAAAGTGAGCCTCTGACATTCTAATCTTGATTGCAGGTCATGGGAATCGAAAGCGGTGGATCGGCGTGCATGGTACAATGTGATCAAGAAGGTAGGTGCCGAAGTGCGGGAGAAAGTCTGCATAAATGCAGAGAAGCGGCAAGCGCCGATGGGGTGTACTCCATCGACATCGAGCGCATGGTGCTATAGCACATGCGTTCGAGAGTGCCTGAGTCAGGCAGGCTTAGTGAGCCATTAGCGAGACCACTCGGAACCATCACCGAAGGGACGACGGGTCCTGCAGAGAACGCAGACAGAAGTGGCGCAGCGTTTTTAGGTACGATTCATCCGATTTACTAACCGTGTGCTTGCATGCTAAGTCTCTTTATTTCTAGTGGTCCTAGTGGTTTTCTTTCTCATATAAATGTCTACCTGTACTATCTTCTATAAAGTTGCACACATTGATGAAGGTTTTGTAGTTAATTTCGATAACATTTTTGAGTATGCGGCATTTTCTTAAAATATTTTTCTGACCTCTTGAACGTATCGTGGTTTCGTTTGTAATCATTTTTATACGATCATTTAGTGAAGAGTTGTGTCTCCGTATCTGTATACACTATCCGATTTATTTTATTTGATATTGTCATTTCAAGTGACTGGCTGTTGCTTGATATCCCCGGTGTGACTGCGCTTGATGTGCATGTTTACAAGGTGCCTACCTGTCTATTACCCACTACCTCGTCCATACTGGCTCTAGAAGACAGCTGGTCGTTGCTCGAGGGGACGGGGTGCACTGTCCTTGTGGCCGTGCTAGGCTCGAAGAGTGGTTCCATGCACTCAGTGTGAAGGGGACTACGTTCCAGCCACCGTCTTGTGTGCGCTTGATTCCCAAATATAGCGTGCTTGTGTTTGCCTGTGAAGGAGTGTGGACCGGGTCCGTTGATGAAACGTGGCTCCCATCCGCATTCCTCCCGGTTTTATTCCTTCGGGTTTACACTGGATATGGGGTGTGTGGATGGCGCTGTGGGTGGTGCAGCGCAAACCACCCATGGTCCCTCTGTAGGCGCAGGCGCCCTGTGGCTGGCCGCAGTGACAGGTAAATCTGAAACCGGATGCCGTCAACCATATATATATATTCAAGAGTTCTGTTTCCTGTATAAAACGGTAGTTTTCGTAACACATCGTAGAGCCAACTATAGCCAGTCAGCTGGTTTTTGCTATCATCTGCACTGACCAGAGGTGTAAAAAGTGGGCAATCGACACAGAACAATGGGAAGGTTATAGTTTAAACTCCACTTTACATTGTCAGCCGGTAGCAGACTAGTTCTTCTGAGTTGCTTTGTCCTCGCTTTAAGTTATTTGGAGGTACAACATATTTATTTCGTAATATCAACCTCTGCTTTTTGATGGGCTCCGATAACAACAGAACAGGACTCCTGAAATAATCACCAATCCGGCTCCCATAAGTATTTACGCCATTATCAACGAATCACTGAAATGGAGCAGTGTGGTGAGATTAAGATCATAGTAGAACCAGATCCGTAGTGAGGAAAAGCGACATGACAGCCGCGCAGTGAGACGGTTGCGAAGGTGTGAAAGAAAGTTTGCGGTTTCAACTGAAGTGGGGTGAATGACAGATGCTCAATTGACGACCAGTGAACTAATACGTGATCGTATTATGCGCCAAACCGCTGGTCACCAGCCCCAACCCGTTATGCGTGAGAGAAGTCCGCGAGTGCATAAGTGCAGGTCGATACGGTGCCGCCGCATGTACTAATCAAAATGAGGCTTAGTACCAAGCAACTACGACACAGGCAACGCAATCCGCTGCAAAGTTGTAAACATTAGCTACCAAAGAACCTGTATTGCATGTGAGCATGTGATTATTCGGAATCAAGGAGCATAATCACCAGTTCGGTGAAAAAATCACGAAAGTGGAATCAAAAGTAAGGCAACGTGTGTGCGTGCATCAGGTAGTGTCCGCGTGGCGTCTTCAAATTGTCTCATTGGTCTGGAGTGGGATTCGTGGGCTGAACGGGGTCGGCGGAATCCTGTTTGGAAGAAGAATTGGACACGTGATAAATAAAGGAAATCAATGCCATATGTTTAGACTAAGCACGAGTTGATGAGGAGAACAGAAGTGAATCACGCACAATCAAAAGCAGGAATAAGTAGTCATTGGGAAAAGTGCTGCAATAACGAAAACTAGGAAATGTAAAAAGGAAGATTCGATGTACTGAGCAAGTATTGAGTTAATGAACACATATAGAAAATAATGTAATCGAGTAGTCAGTCAATGCAGTCGCGCACAATGGGGTTGGTTTGCCAGCACGTACAAATGCGAACAATGAGAGCCTTAAATTTCAAAATTAATAACCCTACACTTACGTAGAATGCACACGCCACACAGCAATGGTGACAAAATAATCAAACTGTTACAGACAAAAGTAGATATAAGTCGAGCAGCTAGCATTTGTTAGCGCAAAGGATGGTGGAGAAGTTGCAGCTGTTGCGGAATATGGTTTGCACTTACTGCGTAAGAGACACCTTTGAATTCATTTGGAAGATATCTGAACTCAACTTCTTTAACAAAAGGATGCTATCATTTGAAACTCAGTTGCTGTTTACAAACATTCCACTGCTTGAAACGGTGGAGTACACATATGAGCTGGCTCAGAACTGCCTATATACGCAACTTTTCTGGAGAATTTGTTAGAGGTACCACTTCGCTGCGCCTTAAAGGTTCCGTTCATCTTCAATGTTGAACTGCAGCGTCAGATTGATGGAGTGGTCATGGGATCTTCTAAGAGGCCGTTGTTAGTTGATATCTTTATGGCATAATTAGGAAAAGACCTACTTGGAACTCAGATCGGTGGGACTGAAATGTACGAAGGGCACGTTGACGACACCTTCGTACTTTGCGAATCCGAAAATCATGCGGTACAGTTGCTGAAAGCCTTTACTAAGGCACATGTGAATCTATGCTATACATATAAACACGAATTCCGAAACCGATTGCCTTTTCTAGATGTAGAATATATCCGTAATTCGAACGGATCATATAGCAGAACGGTACACAGAAAGCAAACATGGACTGGACAGCCAATTAACTTTCACAGCGTAATACCTTTACAACATAAGAGGAGTTTAATTGGAGGGTCAAGTTTGGATTACACGTTGTGTGATTGGATTGCGACACGCAACCTAATCCGATCTCCCGTTTACACTCCCGATGCCGTCAGAGAACTACGAGAAGTAGCGAAACCCTTAGGGAAAATGGTTACCCTGATAAATTTATCATGAGGCATTTGAATGAAACGAAAGACACCTTGGAACATTGCTTTCAAGGAAGAGCTTTTCATGCATTTATCATTTAAGGGCGGTTGTGCAGCTGATATCTTAACTCGACGTCTGAAAGATGCTGTTGAGAATAGTTACTCCGCGGCCCACTTGAGAATTGTTTATCACAACGAGCCATTGCTTGCAGAACCCTGGAAAAACTGCCTTCGTTGACCGGTTCTATGATCGTTTATTGATACTGGTGCTCCTATGGTGTAGAATACGTGGGTGGCACTACGAGACGTCTATGTCAGAGGATTTTCGAGCAATTCCCGGCGGGGTTTTACCAAGGCGAAATAATGTCTTCAAACAGCTCAATCATGTCGCACCCCTTGACTGTGGTCATACAGCTCCTTAAAAGTCATCCACTCACTGTCTGAACGCTTCTCGAAAGGATTCCGAAAATAACTCTTGTCCATTGCCGAAGCCATTTACATCCACCATCTGAAGCCGGAATTAGATGTGCAAAAACGACACATATGGAACACACTAATACCGTGGCAACCAGACATTTTTACTTAGCTATCTGGCTGTTACCTGAAACCGACTGATTCGGGCTCCAAAGGAACATGGTAGATTGGGGAAACTAGGTAAATTCTGCAGCGTTTGAAAAACGGAACAGAAAGGGTGTGGACTATAACGAGGTGAAATAACATTAGCCACTTATAACCACAATAAGACCAGTGATAAGCAATGATCTTAGAAAGGGGAAATACTGGAATTACGCACACCAACCGAAGTTAACCTGAAAGCGGCGAATTTAGAAGACGAATCAAATCAGAAATTTAAACTATGTGGCGACAATAGAGAGTGAGAATAAACGAACTGGCTTTGAGAGTTGAGCTATGCAGTAAATCGGACGCCGGCTGGAGGTAATCGCCCGTTCATGTGGCTCTGTTGATTAGTAGACTAATGTCGGGGACGAATGAGTGGATTCGCTGATTTATGCTACCAATTAGGCGAGTCAATGTGAAAGGTTGCAGGCCTTTAACGTAGCTTAAAAGATCCTTACTTTTGATTATGAGGCAGGGAGGTACGGAGAAATCTTGTAAACGCCATTTAGGTGTTCGGTTTCATCGATAAACTTCGTTGAGTAGAATGACTGTCCCTTAGGGGCTAGTCCCATCTGAGAAGCATAGCTTGTCGGCACAACGTGCGCAATTTAATCATAAAACCAGTCCAATCCAATACTAGCTACGACTAAACATTGAAGATAAACGTGGATCCTTTCGGCTAAACGCTTCCAGTTCATTCACTTGTCAGAGGGTGTACGCAACTGGAATGCAGATGCTCAAAATTCTATAATACGAAATAGCTAATCCAGAGGACCGCCGGAAAATTTATGCATCTTACTCCCTTACCTTAGGGTGCTGGACGGGAGAGTCGTGTGGAGCCAATGGTTGCAACTCCATGTCCTGTTCAGAAACAGCGTCCGCGTGTTCTTTGATAACGTTGCGTAAGCGATCCAGATGTTGGATAATGTTCTGCAGATCGAGCCAAGGGAGGCGTCCAGACTGTAAGGTGATTTCGAATTAAAGTTTATAAGATCAACACAAGCACTAGTGACTTCAGGCACATTGACAAAAAGGGTGCGAAGTGATCACAATGAAACATCGTAAGAAGCAGATAGGTGACCAGACCAGGTGAAATTGCGCAAATAATTTAGCGCGGATGATGTCAAACGACAATAAGAAAGAGGTAATGGATCTGAACGTCAACGAAGTAAAAGCACAACAGAAAAAGGAGAAAATGAGCGTGCAATGAGCAGTGTCCGAATTTAAATTAGTACAAGTAAAGAAGATTGATGCTCAGATCACTTGGGCTATGACATCGGAAGGTTGATGAACGCTGTGACAAGCTCGAACTCATCAAGCACAATCGGGCACGAATGACGACCGAGAGCTATAATGGGACAATTTTGTAGTTTGGATCTGGAACTGTGTGCACCGCGGTCAGTAATAAGTCATCAGAGTTCACTACAATCAAATGGTCAACGAATATGTACGGATTAGTGTTGAACGATGATAACATGATCATGCCGAAGTAAGCGTGTCTCGCACTGTCGAGAATAACCTTTATTTATTTACTTAATTTAACCGCGCTATTTCCTTCCAAGGGTGTGGAGGAAATCTAGAAGACGATTCGACAAATGATAAAGTGACAAAGAAGCCACGGCATATTCTGGAAAGTAATAAGAAGAGGAGGATAGTTTGTTTGGAACCCCGAAGTATGCAAGCAAAGCACAGCACAAACACAAAGATGGATCAAGTAATACCAGAGATTTTACAGCCGATGTTTCAGTGGCTTCAGTGGGAAGTTTGTTGGTCAAGGGACTAGTGTACAAAAGCTACAGGGTGATGACCCCAGAAGTGTTCACGTGGTTCATAAGAGACACGGGTTCAGTTGATCAGCTACGATCTGTGCAGTGATTTCAGACGTAATGACTCAAGCGGGTAGATAAAGTTGATAGCGAAATAAATGAGAATATGCGTAGCTCGGGGTGTGGATGCGGATTTTGGGCAGTTCTCCGAGAAAATGAAGAAAAAAGTTAAAAAGTTAAACCAAATAACAGGTAAAATCGTCAACTGAGTGGATTGAGAGCGAAGGTAGGAGTGTAAGTGAAGTCGTGACTGCGCAGTATCCCGAGGCCTTAATCAATAGGGAATGAACCAACCCGACTTAACGTTCCGAAAAATCGCATCGTGACCACACCAACTCGTCGACAAGCCGCACTGAGACAGCACCAGAGTAGGAATAACGTTGGGAGCTACATGTATAGAATACAAGACCAAGAGATATACGGAGAATACAACCTGGTGAGAATGAGCGGCCCAGTTTAAGATACTAGCCAGTGAGGAGACAGGGAGCCCGTTACCAAACTCCAGCAGTACTCATTTGGTGTGCCTAACAGACATGAGCAATACTGCATGGGAATCTGTGAGCGGACACGGTCAGTGTCTTAACGACATAATTAACCGGAGCTTCCGAAGGCCACACAAAATTTACTGATAAGAGCGACAACTTCTAAGATTGTATCTCTATGTGATGATCCGACCGCATAAAAACTGACCAGACTGAGTAGTTTGAGAAAAGTCTGCAGGTAGGCCCGGTCATGTAATGGCAATCAACGCCTTGAAAAGTCTAAAACAACGAGGATAGAGCGGACTGTCGTAATGGAAGCAATAGTTGTGAGACAAATGAATCCACGATTTTCTTAAAAAAACGTCCTCCATCAAAATTCAGAGATGAGAAGAGAGCTTGCAATTGCCATTCGGAGAGAAACACCCCCTTGCAACAAACAGGAGAAACAAGCCAAAGCGGTCGATAGTCTGTGGCCACAGTCTTTTGGTAAGGACGAGGGAAGGTCATATAGGTCAAGCGACCTGTTCTAGTTCCGCTGTACTAGATGATGTCAGGCCTCGTTTAGGATTAGAGCTGTTACGCCAACGTCCCAGGGGACCAAACAAACACCTCGGATAGATTAGCTCCTCAAAGTGTTTAGCTAAATGTTAGTCGGCTGTACCCACGAACGTCGCGGATTTTTGAATCAGCGAGTGCTGAACACTACTTTTGTCTCTCTGGTT